GACCGTCAAGTCCAATCACACATTTTCCTGTCCTTATTCTATAATATTTTTAGTTTTCGATAATATTATTTAACTTTTTGTTAGATTTCAATAAAGACAAAGTATTTTTTAATTTTTTTTCTTTGAATTTCGGAAATATTTTGGAATACAAAATGTTTTTCTTTATTTATCAAAAGTTATATTTTTTTATATGAAAGAGAATTAGCCCGAAGCAAAATTACTCAATTTCGGACTTGATAAATGTCAGGTAAATCCAAAAAGTTATGTCATTTCGTTTTATTTCCTGTTATTATATGTCCCATCAAATAATGTAGCAATTAAAAGCAATATTATTAATAAAATGTTTTTGTGATTTTTAGAAAAATAAACTTAAAAATAACCTCATCACATAAGAAAATTTTACATTTTTTCCAATATTCCACTATATTGTTGGATTGATTAATTTATGGCTTTGTGATAATTACTTGAATGATCAAATCAAATACAATGATCAAAATACTATTTATTAAAATAATGAAAATAAAGATCAAAATTGCTGTGCAAGAAATGTGGTTAAAAATGAAAACTTTTATGTTTGGTGTTTGGTGAACATCATGGTTACTTAAAAAGACGAAAAATGCCCTTTGATATCTTAAGTTTTGTAAGGTATGAGATGTTGGTAATAATACTATTTGTGGTAGGGCGTAGTTGTCTTTCCACTCAACATTGATTGTTAACATGTGCTAATGGGAGCAATTTGAGTTTTTTTGGACCACTTTCGTTTCCCACTACACACCGACACTAAGTTAGTAGATATCCAACATTTGATTTATTAATTAGAGGTTAATAGGATTTAATACAAGTTTTAAGTAGTATTTAAAATGTTATAAAAAAATAAAAGTAAATTGTAATCATTAGTCATTAATACAAGTAAGTTGAAGAAAATAGAAAGTAAGTTTATGCCCTTTAACAGAAAACAACAAAGTTATTGTTTGATAACGTAAAATAATAATAATAATAATAATAATAATAATAATAATAATTTTTATTATTATTATTATTATTATTATTATTATTATTATTACATGAAACGAACATTGTCTATTTGATGAGCGGCTCTTTTAAAATGTTACATGTATGATTGGTAAAAATAGTTGGTAGTTGGTAACTAATTGTTCGAAACTTTTAAAATGTATAAAGTTATCTAAAAAGACATTTAAAAACTTGCAAATATTAAAATATATATTTTTAAGGGCCATTCTGAAAATTAATTCAAAAAACCTAATAGTTTTTCTTAAACACTTAATTAAATAGTTTTTATATTTGAAATTTAGGTTTAAACTAAAAATTAAAAGCATATGATCTCAAACCAAGTTTTTTTTGTTTAAATTAAGCTTTTTTTTAAAAGTTAAAAACTAAAAATTTCAAAAAGCCCATCGTCAAACACGTCCTACTTAGCATGTGATATAAAGTCCATGAATTCGTGTTTTAACGTATTGAATTAAGTAAAACTAAAAATATTGTGATTTTAAATCCAAGCTCATATAGTATTTTATTTTTTTTAATATAATGATTTACTTTTATCTTTTTGATCATGAACGAGTTGATGGAGAGACTTACGGATGACGTTTACCCTTTTAATATAAGAACATTAAATAACTATATTCTTCTAATTCATCCAACTTGAAGAGGAAAATGAGAAAGAACACATGGATATTATTGTTTCCTTTTGTTAAAATCAGAATAAATGTTAAAGAAAATTTAGAAAATCCAACATATCATCTTTTATAGTTTAAAAACATATTATATTGTATTTTTTCTATTGAATAACATTTTTTCTATTGATGTCTTAAATTAATTTGGATTATGACCATCTTATAGCAATTTANATATATATATATATATATATATATATATATATATATATATATATATATTAAAATCAAAATATAATATTGTGTTTCAATTAAGACCCGTACAATGACCTTATAAGGCTCATTTCAATTTTTCTTTAAAAATCAAAATAGAAAATGGTCACAAAATATTAAATTAGACTAGATCAAAACATAAAATAAAATGATTTTAATAAACAAAACTATAATATAATAAAAAGAAATTAGTTTTGAGAAATAATACGTTGGATCTGTATGGGATTTTCCCAAATATTAACAAAGGAAAGTCTAGTGTAAAATAGGAAATCCTTTTTGCTTTCTAACATTTATAGGTATAAAAAATAAGAAGCATTTTAATTTCTCGAATATAAAAGCTAAATTTATGTTCAACTTATTCATTGTGGTTGAGTTGTTTATTCATGAATATGGAAAGAAACTAAAAGAATGGACCCACATACTAAATCATTGGAAACTTAGTTTTATACAATATATTGTTCATTATTGTTAGGTTTAGTTATACGCTTTTCATCTCAATATTAGCGATGCTATTTGATGTGGACCTTTTAAGTGAGAGATAACCCTCAAACAGATACAATTAAGTCATTTTCAACCAAATTAACCTTAAAATCAAATAAAAACAATATTATTATTGCTATTTTGTTATTTTCAAGGATTGATCCATCGAAAACGACCCTCTTTTGTATTATATGTACTTGTATGACAAATAAAGACGGTATATGCTAATTCGGCACCTTTATATTTCCTTTAGATTTCATGTTTGATAGATTCCGTTATGTTTGATAAAATTAATAAAAATATTAAAAAAAAAAAAAAAAAAGTTGCTTGTTACGTCTAAATATATGAAAAGAAATTATTTGTCCTTCAATTACAAAAGTATACCGGCTAAGAATTTGATGATTATATATGTACTCCGTTAAGAGGCCACATATGTGGTTAACCTTGAATTAAAATCTTCGAATAAAATTTTTTACTTTTTATGGTCTCGTCTATATCATGTTATATGGTGTGAGAACAAAAATAATAGAAACAAAATAGAAACTAATACATGCTATTGTAACATCACTTTGCAGTGAACTCAAATGAATGCTTGATGACAAGAATGCAGGAGATGTCACTTGACTACCATTTCAAAGTCGAACAGGAATCTGGTTCTTCTACTCATGCATTCTTTGGCTTCAATGGTAATCAAAATTGTATTTTAGGGTTGTAAATGTAAGCGTAAACTTTTATGTTGTTATAGGGACTGCTGGAGTTTGGCGAATGGCTGCACTTAATGAGGCTGGAGGATGGAAGGATCGTACCACAGTTGAAGATATGGATCTAGCAGTTAGAGCTAGTCTTAAAGGCTGGAAATTCTTGTACATTGGTTCCGTGAAGGTGATATATGTTCTATTTAACCCTAGTTAGGGACAACGAAATATCCATTAGTATGTTTCCAAACATAAACTTAATCATGATTTATATGTGCATAGGTTAAGAACGAATTGCCAAGTTCATTTAAAGCTTATCGTTACCAACAACATCGTTGGTCATGTGGTCCAGCAAACCTTTTCAGGAAAATGATTTTTGAGATCATGATAAATAAGGTAAGATCAGTGTTCATTAGAATTGTTTTTCGATACTTTCAAGACTTTATTCAATAAATTGACATGTTTTGAATGTTTTACTTTGTTATCCAGAGAGTTACATTGTGGAAAAAGATACATGTGATATACAGTTTCTTTTTTGTAAGAAAAATCGTAGCTCATATTGTTACGTTTGTATTGTATTGCGTTGTGATTCCGGCAACTGTGATGGTACCTGAAGTTATGGTTCCGAAGTGGGGTACAGTTTATATTCCAGCCATCATCACCCTTCTAAACGCAGTTGGAACTCCAAGGTTCTTTTTTTCTCTAACTCCCGGTTACTTTATTAGTAAATGAATGTATGTTCTTAATTCCATTTTCCTTTTCACTTTTATAGGTCCATACATTTGGTGGCATTTTGGATTCTTTTTGAGAATGTCATGTCCCTCCATCGAACTAAGGCTACGCTCATCGGACTTTTTGAGGCTCAAAGAGTGAATGAATGGGTTGTTACCGAAAAGCACGGGGATCCTTCCAAGGCTAAAATAACAACAAAACAACATAAAAAGCTTGGCTTCAAACTAAGTGAACGGTACCCACTTTTACTAACAATAGATTTACCATGATTTTATTCATACATCCCAGTTACTAAATGCACACACCCATTTTAATTTTTATTTTTTTTTATTAAATGCACACCCTTGATTTGACATTTTTATCAAATCAAAAGGATGTATAATAACTAAAAGGTACAAAATTAATAGCATCCTCAATTATGTATAATAACATAAATTACAAGTATAGAAGTGACATTATTATTAGCATGGTAAAAATAAAAGAATATAGAACATATATTGCAAGTGAAAAATTTTGCATTCTTATACGAATAAACATAAACTTACAAAGGGAAAACAAACATTGTCATGAAAATGAACAAAGATTACAAATACAAATTTTGACATATGTGATTGCCATGATCTTTGTTCATTCTCGTGACAATGTTTTATATTTTATATATACAGGCTTCTTACGCTAGAGATTTGTGTGGGTCTCATCCTCTTCATATGTGCTTGCCATGATCTTGTATTTGGGAAGTACCACTACTACATATACCTATATATGCAAGCTATAGCTTTTATCATAATTGGATTGGGATATGTTGGCACCGATGTTCCCAACTCATAGATGATGTTATTTACTCATCTTCATTCGATCGACAAACACGGTATACTTGTACCTTGACCTTTCGGTCATTAGCTACAACGTATAATTGTTGTTTTTGATATGCAACTTTATTGCACTTCATTTGATTGTTACCTTTGTTTGTATATCGAAAAATTTGATAATTTTATACAAAGAAGAAAAAAAACACAAAGACAAATAGATAAGCAAAAGTTGGGTGTGGCTTTACGAAAAGTTATTAAGTAGAAGGGCTTATTTGTAATTACTGAGTTTTATAGGTTTAGTTTTGCAATTTTGATTATGTTTTTTGTATATGTAACTTTTTATTTATTTAAAATAATAGGTGGGATAATGACAGTGAACGAATAAATGTGACATTTTCAATTTCACTGCCAAATCAAATATCCTCCATCATTATACTTTTTATTTATATCTATCTTTTTTACTTAGTTGATCAATTGTAATTGTAAGTGTCAAAATAAAAATAAAATAAAATAAAATAAATAAAATAAAATAAAATAAGTAATTAATGGATTTCAGGTATCATTGTTTTATATATGTTGGAAGATGATTAGAAACAAAAGATAGAAAGATATATAATTTATCTTGAACACCTGAACATTTGATTCACTTGTATAATGGATCAAGTGCTTATATCATACTAAATTGATTATAGGATAGACAAAATTGCAAAAATGGTCCTTGTGGTATGTACTTTTTGGGGGTTTAGTCCAAACCTCGACTTTTTTGGATTGGTAGTCCTTTTGACCATGTTTGTTTGTGATTTTGGTCCATCGGAAAACTGAAAAGACTAAAATGTCATTTCTGATATACTTTTTATATTTTTTTATTTAATTTAAAGGAAAAAAAATAAATAACTAATTTGGACATACATCTCTCTCTCTCTCTCTCTTCTCTCTCTCTCTCTCTCTCACACACACACAGACACACACAAACATCACAACGAACCCAAATATCCACCCACTGATATAGCAAATCTCGATCCCACTCGTTCGTACTCATCGGCCGAAGGAAAAGACCGAAGAACTTGACACCGGCCACCACCTCCCTCCGCCACCTTCTATCGAGTCACTCCATCCATCACCGGTGCCACTTTTTCCCTCCTTCGTCTCCGCCGGCAGAAGCCCAAACAGAAGCAGCAGAGGCTGCCGAAGCTCCTCTCTCCGCCACCCACTGCCTCCTTCCCACCGAGAAACACCATCACCACCAACGGTGGTGTTGCTGTTGCTGGGACCACCATGAAACCACCTCCCTCCTCGTTTTTTTTTTTGTTGATCGGAGCAACCCATTGCCGCCAAACGCCACTGTTGTGGAGTTCCGACCACCACATTGTCGCCACTACAGTCCTATCTCCCCTTTCCCCTTTCCTCTCTCATACTCTCCTATCTCCCCTCTAAAACTTTGTTCAATATTTATCTTTCAAGATTGGATCAAGAAAAGTGATGGTTGTGTTTAATCTGTATAATGTCGGCATATTTTTGTTGGAACTCTGTTCATTGTATTTGATGAAATTCCTGTCAAATAACTCATCTCGTGGAACTCGATGATTCTACTGGGTGGTAATTATGGAAACTTGGAAGACACACGTAAGGTGTTCGATGAAATGCTCAAATAAGATAGTGATGTTTTGTCGAGGAGGATGGGTAATTTTTTTTTTAATAAAGGAGGAAGACGAAGGGCAAAGGAGGTAGACGAAGGACAAGAGGTGTATATGTATTTGAGTCAATGGTACATGTATTATTTTTAACTTCAATGTATATGTATGTGATTTTATTATATTGGAAGTAGATCGAAGGAAGAAGACGATGTGGAGAGAGAGAGAGAGAGAGAGAGAGAGAGAGATAGAGAGAGAGAGAGGTGGGCCAGGTTTTATATTTAATAATAATAATAATTTTAAAAAGTGAAAGAAAAATGAAAATTAAATTATAATAGTCTTTTTAGTTTGGACAGGGACCAAAACTGCATGTAAACTAGCTCAAAAGGACGATCAATCCAAAAAAGTCGAGGTTTGGACTAAAACCCCAAAAAAATGCATACCATAGGGACCATTTTTGCAATTTTGTCTATAGGATAATATCTAATGGTTACATTATGTTATAACTCAATATAAATATTGTCACACCCCCAAACCGGAACGGCGGAAACGTTTGGGGGCAGAGGACGTCATGTACAATATCATAACAATTGAATAATAGTAATCAAAGCAACAACAACCATTATATTGATAATAAAGTATTTACATTGTGTTTGAATCATAGTTTGATTGTCTCCAAAAGTACAAAGCAAAAACTAAGACGTGACGCTACTATGCTCCGTCTTCACAAAACCTGCATGTATACCTGTCTATTGGTATCCTGAGAATAAAAGTGGTTTTGAAAAAGTGTCAACATTTAAGTTGGTGAGTTCATAAGCATTTTAGTTTTAGAAAGTATGTTCTTTATTCTTTGAAAATGTCAGTGTGTTCCTCTAGAAAAAGAAATGTAGTCTTAGGCCTTAAGACCAAAATGTATAAGTTTCTTATGCTTAAAGTATGAAATATGACGCTTTGAATTCCTATAAGTAATGTGTCCCATATTGATTCCTCCTATGATTACTTAGTGAATACAAATTATATATAATCAAAGATCGAACAGACAGTCGAATGTGTGTATCTGCCCTAAGCCCACAACCAAACAAGGAACATGAAGTAAGGCGGAAATCACACATTCCACTGCCTATCGGATCTTCATTGTATATAACCCTGACATATTCACTAGGTAATCGCAGAGTTATCAATAATGGTCCTAACCGAAATGTAAGTAATCATATTTGTTTCCAGAAAATCCTATATTTTCTTTGTAAATGAGTTGTAAGTAATGTGACCCATACTAGTTTCTTCTACGATTACTTAGTGTATGCAAGTTATATATAATTTAGATCGAACGGACAGTCGAATGTGTGTATCTGCCCTAAGCCCACAATCAAACAAGGAACAGGAAGTAAGGCGGAAATCACACATTCCACTGCCTATCGGATCTTCATTGTATATAACCCTAAAGTATTCACTAAGTAATCATAGCTTTAGCAATAAGGGTCCTCAAGATATGTTTTCCTGAAATGCTAATTGTACCGTATTAGTAAGTAGTATAATGTATTGCTTTTAGTATAACTGTGTGTAATTCTAGAAATCCCATAACTTCCTTCTATAATCTCTTAGTGTGTACAAGTTATATAAAATCAAGGTTCAATAGGTCGTCGAATGTAATCGGTCTGCCCTAAGCCCACAACCAAACAAGGAACAGGACCCAAAGCGGACCCACCAATTCTAAGTCGATCGGGTCATAATTTTATATAACTCTAGCGTATACACTAAGCAATCATAGACGAAAATATGATTCTCTGTTGTCCTAAAGCCGACGAGTATGAAATGTTGTATTTGAAAATAGTGTAATACAGTTTTATTATCAAGTAAAACTAGTTGAAGACGTGTTTGCCCCGTAACTAAAAGTAATGATAATACCCTCCTAAGATTACTTAGTGTATACAAGTTATATATAATCAAAGATCAAACGGACAATCGAATGTGTGTATCTGCCCCAAGCCCACAACCAAACAAGGAACAGGAAATAAGACAGAAATCACACATTCCACTGCCTATCGGATCTTCATTGTATATAACTCTAACGTATATACTAAGTAATCATAGAGTTAACAAAGATGGTTCTTTCCAAATGTAAGTTGTACTGTACTAGAAAAATAGTGAAAAGTAGTCTTATTATTAAAATAAAACCGTTGAAGTTATATTTGTCCCGCAAAACAAAATGATTAGTTAATGCTTATTGTGGGAGTTATTATAACCATGCTTACAACTAATGGTCTACATGACGTTCTTCAAGTGTCGGAATGTTATGACATTTGTCACCCCAGAACTTCCGTTCCAACTGTAGCTAACAGTCAGGGCGCAGGATTGTCAGTCCCGTATAGATATATACACAAATTCACGCTCTCCCTCCAAGAGACTCTGGTTATAAAATTCTAATAGGTACCCTAGTTGGTACAATGAAGTAATGGCTCACAATCCTGTGTTAACTAGTTCATTTATAGCGAAATGAATAACCTTTTTTCTTGTAACTGGAAACGTAACTTTTCCTTAGAAATGTTTATGATGATAAATACTGTAAAATGACCCATAAACTATACCTATTATAGTTTAAAAAAAATGTATGTTCTATTGAAATAAAAACCTTTGTATTTTAACAACTTTAAGAGTTATAAGTTTGGTAGT